ACATAATACATGTTTGCAGTGTGATGTCTGGATTGCCTGAAAAAATACTATTTTTCAGCATCAGTGAATTCTTACTGGAGAGAAACTTTATCAGGGCTTAGGATGTGGCAAAGGATTTCATCTGACAATCAGGTCTTCAGATGCCCTTGAAAAACCCACACAGGAGAAAAAACTTAACACGTGTGTAGTGTGAGAAAACATTTCCTTCCCAACTGGAACATCTTGCCTCCTGGAGTTTGTCCATTTGAAATTGCCTCCTTGAAAATTTTCTTGCCAACTTAAAAATTGTATAATTTTCATTTTCAGAAGTGAATATGAAAGTCTAATGCGAGTGTGCAAATCTAAAATCTAATGTGAAATTTTCCAGAATCAAAAAAGGACTCCTGCTAAGATCTTGGAAGCCACCAAAAGTCTCTTTTGAGTTGTGCAGGATTAATACAGCCAGGAAATATATCAGGCAGTCCTCGACTTATTTTACGACCTCTTTTCCCACAGTTGCTGAGTGAATCACTGCAGTTGATGAGTGAATCACGTGGGTGTTAAGTGAATCTGGCTTCCCCCATTGACTTTGCTTGTCAGAAGGAAGGCTGGAAAAGGGGATCACGTGACCCTGGGACACAGCAACGGTCATAAGTATGAGCCGGTTGCCAAGCATGTGAGTTTTGATCACATGACCATGGGGAGGCTGCAAAGGTCATAACTGAAAAACGGTCATAAATCAACTTTTTTTCAGTGCTGTTGTAATTTTGAATGGTCACTAAATGAACTATTGTAAGTCAAGGACTCCCTGTAGAAGCATCCTGGAGCGCAGCGGATGGAAGCCCAGAAGTAAGAAGGGCTTTGATTATTATTTTGTGGTAATTTTAAAAGACCTTTTGGAAGAAACCATGATATTAATGTAAAAACTGACTGATTTTAAGGCGTTAGCTGGTTTTAAAATCAATGGTGAATAGACAAAGAAGTTGACCAAAATATGAAAATGGAAGACCAAAAAGAATTGATGGGGAAAGCAGTTTAAAAGAGAAGTAAGACATTTGGGTATTCTTACAAAGAATACAAATTCTATGTCAAAATAATTATGACAAAGCATGGAATGAAATCAAGAAGGATTTGTTAAGATGGACAAAAAATTACAATTGTAATACAATTGGGTAGAATTTCTATAATTAAAAATGACTATATTGCCTAGAGACAGATCTATTTTAAACAATATCTATCTGGACAATGGGTGCACTACTAAAGAAATGGCAGGAAGATATATGTAAGTTTCCTCCTCGGGCAGGAAACCCTATACCAGTGATGGCGAAGCTTTTAGAAACAATGCCCAAACTGCAACCCAAAACCATCTTATTTATCACTGGATGCCGGGTGGGCGTGGCCCACTGGATGGCTGTGGCTGAGGTGGTCACAGCAGACTGGGTGGGTGTGGCCACCTGGATGTTGCTCATGGGGAAGGACGCTTGGGGCTGAGCAGGGTTGGGGGAGGTTTCTGGTGGGTGAGGCAGAAGGCAAGAGACTCATCCTGCGGGGTGAGACAAGTCCGGGGGCGGTGCAGGGGTGCCATTGCCGTAGGGCAGGGGTTTGCTGGCTGAGGACTTCTGGGAGTTGAAGTCCACAAGTCTTAAAGTTGCCAAGGTTGAGAACCCCTGCCGTAGGGCAAGGCAAGGTGAGGCAGGGCCCAGGGCAGCTGCTGCCTCACACCATCAGCCCCCGCACACACAGGCAGCCAGCGCATGGGAGCCAACGATGTCCGTCAGCAGCCACAGCCTGCCGGCCCCTCGACCAGCACACTCTGGGCTCCATACCCCACTGTAAATACCGGACCAGCCCTCCAGCAGCAAGGTGGAGTAGGGGAGGGGGGAGGCGCGTGATGCAGACCCCCGGACGTGCCTACTCCGTCCAATCTGTTTTTGCTTGCGGTTGGAGAACAGGTTGCTGCTGGTCATCTCCTTGGCCCCATCGCAAATCTTGCCCTTGGCCCGCACGTGGAGCCTGTTCCCCTCATATACCCAACAGACCTTAGCCCCACCTAAGGTTATATGTATGAATTTATTTTAAAGGTATGTTTTATAATGTATTAAAAGTATTAAATGTATTGAAAAATGAAAAATAAAAAAAAATTCAAAAAAACCCCAACAGTTCACTTAGTGACTGTTCAAAGTTACAATAGCACTGAAAAAAGTGACTTCTGACCATTTTTCACACTTATCACCATTGCAGCACTTAATTACATTACTTCTCATATTTTTTTATTCCTCAATTCTAACGTTATAATACATATCCCATATCTCGTAAAATTCTGTAGCTTCTTTGTCTTTTATTTCTAAGCTAAGTTTATTCATCTCCGCACCATCTAATCTCTTATCACTTACCACACTTTTAATGGAAATGTGTGCCTGTTTTTCTCAGATGAATCTTTGCCGTGTTCTATCCCCTTCTCTTCTTGTTTGACTCAAGCCTCTCCTCCGTCTCTCTCCATCCTCTTCTCTTTCCCTGTCATGTTCTTCCTCTCCCTTTCCCTCCAAAACCTCCACCTTTTATATCCTCTCCTCTCTCTCCATCCTCCTTTCCCTGAGGCTGCGGGCCAATTAGCTGGAGCCCCACAGCAATCCAGGGTGCTCAGCAGAGCCCTGGCAACCCCGAAGCTCCACCTGACTTTCATACAGTTTTGCCGCCGCTTCAGCTAATCCCCACGCTACACTTTTACGCTTTTTTTTACACTGCTTTTCATGCCGACGTATGCGTACCACCTGCCTGGTAACAAAGTACCACCAGTGGTACACCTAGAACAGACATGTCAAACACAAGGCCCGGGGACTGGATGCGGCTCGTGAAGTGGTTTCATGTGGCCTGCAAAGCCATCCTGGAAACAGTGAGGGAACAGCCCCCGCTGCCTTGGCCCTGGCCCAGGCTGGCCGGGAGCCAATATAAATTTTGTGAATGCTGAAATGCATTCAGTCTTAGCTCCACAAGGCCGTCTGGAAACAACGAGGAACCAGCCCCAGCTGCTTCGGCCCCACCTCTTGGGTGCATGCTGGGCAGGTGTCACCCTTTGTGAGGAATGAAGAAATGCACCATCGCCTGGAAGTGCCCAGCAAATGGCCCTCGCCATCTTCACATATCCAGCTTGATGGGCTCCAGCGGAGGGGTTTCAGCAGGCAGTGAGGCTCCTCCAGTGGACTATGCCTTGGTACTTGCCCTGGTCCCACCCCCTTCTGCCAGAGACCCTCAGATCTGTCTCACTCCTGCCCAGGCCCCCACAGGCACCATTGACACGAATGATGTAGAGCTCGCCATGCCCACCCAATAGGTCACACCCACTCCGTCCACACCCACCCAGTAGGCCACACCCACCTGCTCCCCCCCAGGGCAACCGCAATAGTCATGCGGCCCTCAATGAAATTGAGTTTGACACCGCTGACCTAGAACAGTTCAAGATTTTGTTTCCAAATGTAGCCTCCCTTAAACAGTTGATATCCGTCTTTAACGCCTGATGTCATTTTTTCTTCACAAAGCAGGCAAGGCAAAATCACATTAAATTTAGGCCCTACCCATCGGATGTCTTCGCAACAGCCCAAGCATTTTCAAATAGTTTATTCATGAACTTGTTTAAAAATTCCAAATCGGGTCAAAATCCATCTTTGGGGTTTTATACATTTTGTACTCGCTAGAGAAAAAAACTAGTAAGGTTGCAGAGAAGAGCAACAAAGATGATTAGGGGAAGGGAGACTAAAACAAGAGAAATGGTTGTAAGAAATGGTTATGTCTAGTCCAGGGATAGGCAACCTCGGCTCTTTTATGACTCGTGAACTTCAACTCCCAGAATTCCTGAGCCAGCCATGCTGAGGGGAAAGGGAGAGGTTTCCAAGCTGAGCCAGGCTGGTTCAGGAATTCTGGGAGTTGAAGTCCACAAGTCATAAAAGAGCCAAGGTTGCCTACCCCTGGTCTAGTCGAAGGAAGAGGAGGACTAGGGGTGACAGGATGACAGTCTTCCAATATTTCAGATGTTTTCAAAAAGAAGAGGGAGACAAACTATTTTCCAAAAGCAACTGAAGGCTGAAGAAGCAGCAATGGCTGGAAACTGATCAGAGATGCAGCTTAGAACTAAGGAGAATTTCCTCCCATTTAGAACAATTAATCAGCGCAATGGCTTCCCTCCAAAAGTTGAGCGCTCCATCCGTGGAGGCTTTTAAGAGATTAGCCAGTCACTTCTCTAGAATGGTATAGGATCTCTTGCATGGACAGAGGGTTGAGCTAGATAGAAGACCTCCAAGCTCCCTTCCAACTTTGTTATTCTGTAAAGCTTGCTCATTTGTGGCTTGGAAACGTGTAGAAACCCACCACGGTCAGCAAACCATGATGAAAGCAAAGCTTATGGGATGCTGTCTGAACTGCACAATAGGGAAAAGGCTAACCTATTTTCTAAAGCAGGCAAATGACGGTTCCATACAAGCCCTGATCAGGGAGTGTAACGTGGCTCCCTCTGGTTACTGTTTGCAGCTCCCAGGGAGACCTGCCAGCGAGCCCTGGACGGAGGGCTGGGCTGACTTCCAGGACTGGGAGTAAACTATGATTAAGCCACGATTAAGGCCGGTCTCCATCATCACCGCAGCCTCTTTGGACTCGACAGAACCACCGTCTCGCCTGCCTCCCTTCTACGCAGCCCATCCTCCACAGCCATCTCAGCCTTGCCAGGTGCCGGATAGGGGATCCCTCCTCCGACTCCCTCCCCCTCGAACTTCGGGGGAAAGCAGGGAGGGAGGATGCCCGGCCGCCTCTTGCCAATCCCTCGCAGGAGGGAGGGAGGGAGGAAAAGGCTCCGGGCTTCTCCAGACTCCGCCCGGCTGTCAAAGAGGCGGCTCTCCCGGCGCCCTCCGAGGCGCCGCTCTAGGAAGCTCCTCGTTCTCCCTACGCCCGGCGCCCTCCGAGGGGGAAGCGGCGCTTTCTGCGCAACGAAACTCCGGCCGCTCCATCGGAGGAGGAGAGGGAGGAGGGGCCAGAGCGCCCACTCTCCCGTGGTACAGGAAATGGAAGCGGAAAGGGCGAGGAGACGCCTCCGAGGCGCCTCTCTAGGACGTTCCTCTCGTTCTCCCTAATCCTCCCCCCCCCCAGCTCTGACGTCCCAGAGCTCCGTTGAGGAGGATTTTCCTTCTCCGCCTTTTTCCCCCCTGGCGGCATTTTGGGCGGCGGTGCAACTTCTGGGCGTCCGGCAAGGCTGCTCCTCGGCCCCGCTCCGGGCAGGTGGGGCTGCTCCTGCTCTCCCTCGGCCGGCCAGGAGGAAGGTAGCCCCGAGTCCCCCCCGGGTCCCCGGAGGGTGGCTGAGCCTGCCAGGATCCCGGGTGGATGCAGGGCTGGGCGGGGAAAAGGGGGGGCTCGCCCCACGGAGGGAAAGGGGGGGCTTTGCTTTTGAAGGATTTGGGGGGGGGGAATATGGGGCAATGGAAAGAAAGACCCGCCTTCTCCCTTCAGTTGGGGGGTAGGTTGGTTTAAGGGGGGTTGTTCCTTTTCCTTCCTTCAAGTGCTTTGAAAAACAGGTGGACAGCCAATATTGTGGCAGCCCCCCAATATTGGAATACTGTTATCATATCACCCCCCCTCCCCGTCCATCTTTACTCTAGACTGGCCATAAACAATTCCTGCAACATTCCTTCACATGTTTTTGTCTCCAGGCCTTTAATCATTTTAGTTCCTCTCCTTTGCCCTTTTTGCAGGGTCTCAATATCTGTTTTGTAATCTGGTGACCAAACCTGGATGCAGTATTCCAGCTGTGGTCTTACTAATTTACTTGCTCTTTATAAAGCTGTACTCATCCTTCTTGTGATTTTGATTTTACCACTCTTGTTTATACAGCCAAGGATTTTATTAGCTTTTTTGGAAGCTTTTGCACAATGCTGGTTCATGTTTAAGTGATTCGCCACTGGACTCCCAGTTAACTGTTTTTGAGCCAGGTTTCGCCTAATCTGTATTTGCACCTTTAGTTTTTCCTGTCTACGTGTAAAACCTTGCTTTTCTCCACACTAAATTTCAAGTTGTTGGATAGGGCCCATTGTTCAAGTCTGTCAAGATCTTTTTGGATCCTGAGCTTGTCTTCTGGGGTGTTGGCTATTTCTGCCAGCTTAGTGTCATCTGCAAATTTGATGACTTCCTCTTTTATTCCCTCATCTAAGTCATTTATGAAGATTTTCAGAGTATTGGGCCTAAAACAGAACCTTGTGGTACCTCACTGTTTACTTCCCTCTTTGTCAGTGGTTCTCAACCTTCCTAATGCCGCGACCCTTTAATACAGTTCCTCATGCTGTGGTGATCCCCAACACCCCCCCCCCCAATCCAGCTGGCCGGGGGAGGGGGTATCAAAAACTTGACCCCCAAAAAAAGGAAAAAATGGGAAAGTATAGGTAGTCCTCAACAATTCGCTTAGTGACTGTTTGAAGTTACAACAGCACTGAAAAAGCGAATTTTGATCATTTTTCACACTTATGATTGTTGCAGCATCCCCAGGGTCATGTGATTTACATTCGGATGCTTGACAACTGATTCATACTTATGACGTTCACAGTGTCCCAGGGTCACGTGATCAGTGGCCAGGGGGAGTGGCCAGCTGATCACTCAGGTTGCAGAATGCCTTTGGGGGGGAATCTGTGGGTGTCTGGGATGGGACTGGGGTGGGTGCCTGCCTTCCTTCCCTCCCTTCTCTCCCCTTGTCCCTTCCTTCTTTCCTTCCTTTCCTTCACCTCCTTCTTAGTCTCTTCCTCCTTCCCTCCCTCTCTCCCATTGTCCCTTCCTTCCTTCTTTCCTTCCTTTCCTTCACCTCCCTTAGTCTCTTCTGCCTTCCCTCCCTCTTTCCCATTGTCCCTTCCTTCTTTCCTTCCTTTCCTTCACCTCCTTCTTAGTCTCTTCCTCCTTCCCTCCCTCTCTCCCATTGTCCCTTCCTTCTTTCCTCCCTTTTCTTCACCTCCCTTAGTCTCTTCCTCCTTCCCTTCCTCTTTCCCATTGTCCCTTCCTTCTTTCCTTCCCCTCCCTCTTAGTTCCTTCCTTCCTTCCCTTCCTTCCATTGTTCCTTCCTTCCTTCTCTCATTGTCCCTTACTTCCCTCCCTCTTCGTCCCTTCCTTCCTCCCCCCCTCCGTGCCCAGGAAGGGACAAGGAGAGGGGGACAGGCTGCCAGAGATGAGGAGAGCTCCGCCCAGCTCACTTGCTTAGCTTCGCCAGAAAAGAAAGCCGCTTGCTAAGTTAGCAGAAGCCCCAGGATCAGCGCCGGGCTACAGCTGATTCACGCTTCTGCTAAATTAGCAAGCGGCATGTTTTCTAGCAAAGCTTGAGCAAGTTTGCTGGGCAGGAGCCAAGGAGAGTTGCTATAGCCGACTTGCTTCTTGGCTGCTCTGCAAAAGCGCGGATCAGCTGTAGAGGTTCGCCCTGATCCTGGACAAGAGGGAAGGAAGGACGGAAGGGACAAGGGGAAAGAGGGAGGGAAGGAGGGACAAAGAGGGAGGCGAAGGAAAGGAAGGAAGGGAGGAAGGAAGGGACAATGGGAGAGGGAGGGGAAGAGACCAAGAGGGAGGGAAGGAAAGGAAGTTCCAGCCAGGAGAGGCTTGCCAGCCCAGCTGCCGAGAAACAGAAGAGCACAAAGCCATGGAGAAGAAGGTGGCAGTTTCCTCCCAAAGGGGGCTCCTTTTCTCCACCCCTTCCCTGGGTTTGTGGGGAATTTCTCGTCACCAACGCTGACAGATGCTCCTTCAAGCCCGCCACGAGCTTTCTCGCCCCCTTTGCTTCCCCCCCCCGCTTTCATGAGGATTGTGGCGCCCTTGGGAAGCCGATCGTGCTTTGAAGCTTAGGAGAGGAGGAGGAGTCCCTTCCTCCTTCCCTCCCTCTCTCCCTGTCAAGCCCCAGTGGGCTCAACATGAATGGGCGGAGGAGGAGTCGAGGACGGGCGGGGTGGCAAAGGAGACCGGCGGCCGTCACCAGACCACACGGCTGACAAGCGCAGGTTCGGGGGTCGCCAACTGACGGGCGCAGGAGTTGGGTGCTGGGGCGACCCCCCTTTCGCTGACCTGCGTGCATGAGAAGAAGCCAATCCGGTTGCTGCACAATGAGTCCCTGGGGAGGGCGGGGCCTTGCTCTGTGCCTGCGCTCTTCATGCGCCCCCTGCAGGGCGCATTTGGTAAAGTTCATGCAGACTGCCGCCAAGCAGCATATTTTCCACAAACAAGTGAGGTGGAGCAGAGAGGGGGAGGGAGAGAAGGCGGTTGACAAGCCCTACCTAAGACCATTGGAAATATGAGTTTTCCGATGGTCTTACGCGACCCCTATGAAAGGCTCATGCGACCCCCAAAAGGGTCGCGACCCACAGGTTGAGAACCGCTGCTCTATGTAGATCAGTGGTTCTCAACCTTTTTATACGGCGACCCCGGTCATAAGCAGGCGGCGCGCATGCGCGGCGGCACCCCCTGCGCAGCACTCATGCACTGCCCCCTGCGCCGGCTGATGAAAAAAATGGCGGATCGCGTTGTTTGGCGACCCCCGTGAAATGGTCGTTCGACCCCAAATGGGGTCGCGACCCACAGGTTGAGAACCGCTGATGTAGATGTACAATTATTAAGGACTACTTGTTGAGTCCAGTTTGTCAGCTAATTACAAATCCATCTGGTGGTGATGCTGTCTATCCCACATTTGTCTAGCTTACCAAGATACAGGTGGTCGAATGTCTTGCTGAAATCTCAGTATACTATGCCTACAGCATTTTGCTGCTCTACCAATTTAGTCACAGTGTCAAAGAATGTGGCAGCCCCTTGGTGGGTTTTATCAATCAGAATAGAGCGGGGTGGAATCTTGGAGGTCTGGTAGTCCAACCCATTCCTCAAGCAGGAGATCCTATACCAGGGCATTTCAACCTTTTCACAGGTTGTTTCACTTTTAGGATATGGCAATATTCGAGTACCACCAGTTGCTTAGCAAGGTGTCAAAAACTTGATGACCAAAAAAAAGGGAAAGTGGTAAAATACAGGTAGTCCTCGACTTACAACAGTTTGCTTAGTGTCTGTTCAAAGTTATAGCGCAGTGGTTAGAATACAGTTGTTAATTGTGAAGTTGTGTACTACCCATCACGACCCAATGAACAATGTTCCTCCAGGTCTTCCTGTCCTCTACCATTTTCTGGAGTCCATTTAAGTTCACGCCTGCTGCTTCATAGAATGCAGTATTGCAGGCTAATTCTGCTGACTGCCAGCAGTTCGATTCTCAAGGTTGACTCAGTCTTCTATCCTTCCGACGTCAGTAAAATGGGGACCCAGATTGTTGGAGGGCAACATGCTGATTCTGTATACCGCTTAGAGAGGGCCGTAAAGCACTGTAAAGCGATATATATGTCTAAGTGCTATTGCTATTCTGTCAGCCATTATGAATCTTTCTCTCTTCTTTTCTTCTTTTTCCTTCATCCAGCAGGGGACACCGGGAAAAGTGGACAAAATTCCAGTTCTGAGATTTTCAGCGTTTAGAAAGCCCTGCAACTGAGAAGGCTGGCTAGAGAAATACTTCAATAGGAGGTCCCCTCAGAGGAACTAGGAGAGACTCTTCAAGTGCTCTGAGGGCGAGATATCCTTTGCTCACAAATCCCTCCTTTTGATTAACTGGAAGCTGGACATGGGGAATGGATCCCAGCTGTGTTTGAAGTGTGCGAAGTTGTTTCATGGTTGTGAAGCTTTGCCAAGCATCTCTGGAGCCACCCTAGACTGAAGCCCTACAGATGTGGAGAGTGTGGGAAGCATTTTGCTAAAGGCTGGGACCTCAGAGCTCCTTAGCGTATCCACCAGGGAAAGAGTCCTCAGGAAGGCCTCAGTGTTTTTCCAGGGTCTCCAAATCCATGAGAAAATTCAAATGGAAATAAAACCTTATAAATGCTTCGAGTGTGGAAAATGTTTCACTCGGAGTTCATCACTTTGCAAACATAATAAAACACACACAAAGGAGGAAAGCAGAACGTGCCAAGAATGTGGGAAATGTTTTTCCAACAAATCAGCCCTGCAGCAACATCAGACAGTCCACACTGGGGAGAGACCTTATCAATGTCTGGAGTGTGGGAAATGTTTTTCCAGAAAATCAGCCTTGCAGCGACATCAGACAGTCCACACTGGGGAGAGGCCTTATGAATGTCTGGAATGTGGGAAATATTTTTCCAGCAAATCAGTCCTGCAGCAACACCAGATAATCCACACTGGAGAAAGACCCCATGAATGCCCAGAATGTGAGAAACGATTTGTGCGTTCTTCCGCACTTTGGAGACACCAAAAGACGCACACGAGAGAAAAACCCTACCAGTGCATCGAGTGTGGAAAATTTTTTGGTTCAATAGCAAACCTGAGACATCATGAGAATATTCACAGAGGGGAAAAAAAATTCAAATGTTTAGACTGTGGGAGAGCATTTATTTATTCATCTTATCTTAGAAGTCACTGGCAAGTCCATTTAGGAGAGAAGCCCCATAAATGCTCGGAGTGCGATAAATGTTTTTCTAGGAGAGATACCCTTGTGTTACATCAGAGGATCCACAGTGGAGAGAAACCACATAAATGTCCAGAGTGTGGGAAGTCTTTTTCTTGCCAACAATATCTTAGAAAACACGAGACGATTCACACCGAAAAGAAGCCTTGCAAGCATGTAGAAAAAAATAAAAATAAAATGTGCTCACAATGTGGGAAATGTTTCTCCCAAAGGTCACAACTAATTCGACATGAGAGACTTCACACCGGAGACAGGCCCTATCAATGCCCAGAATGCGACAAGCGATTTGTGGTGTCTGCTGAACTCCGGAGACACCACAGGGGACACACAGGAGAGAAGCCCTATAAATGTGGGGAGTGTGCGAAAGGTTTCCTCACAGCAGCACTGCTTCGGGTTCACGAGAGAATCCACACGGGGGAGAAGCCGTACAAATGTGTAGAGTGTGGGAAATGCTTTTCCCGGAAACAACACCTTGGACGTCATCAAAAGGTCCATAAAAGAATGAAGCCATAAAGACTCCTAAAGTGTAGAAATGTTTTGCTTAAAAGGGAGATATCAGAAAACTCACATGGGAAAAGGCCTAACAGGCCCTGATGGTGGAACAGTTTTTCATAGTTGTTCAACCCATAGAAGTCATTTAACAGTTCCTAAAGAGGGGGGGGGGGAATTAGAAACTCTTAGATCATGAGAGAGCATTTTTTTTTGTCAATCATCCCTTAAAAATCATACTTTAATCCAGGTGTGTCAAACTCACAGCATTTCGTGACGTGTTGTGACTTTTACCATTGCCGGCAATGGGGTGGGCGCAGATTTGCTATGATGTATCCAGCCCACGAGCTGGGAGTTTGACACCCCTGTTCTAATCCATATAGGAAAGATGCAGCATAAATGAAGAGAAGGACGAGGGGGGACATGATAGTCGTGTTCCAATATCTCAGGGGCTGCCACAAAGAAGAGGGAGTCAAGCTATTTTCAAAGGCTCCTGAAGGCAGGACCAGAAGCAACGGGTGGAAACTAATCAAGGAGAGAAGCAACCTAGAACTAAGGAGAAACTTTCTGACAGTTAGAACAATTAACCAGTGGAACAACCTGCCTCCAGAAGCGGTGAATGCTCCAATACTGGAAGTTTTTAAGAAGGGACTGGACAGCCATTTTTCCGAAATGGTATAGGGTTTCCTGCCTGAGCAGGAGGTTGGACTAGATGACCTCCAAGGTCCCTTCCAACTGTACTACTACTACATAATACATGTTTGCAGTGTGATGTCTGGATTGCCTGAAAAAATACTATTTTTCAGCATCAGTGAATTCTTACTGGAGAGAAACTTTATCAGGGCTTAGGATGTGGCAAAGGATTTCATCTGACAATCAGGTCTTCAGATGCCCTTGAAAAACCCACACAGGAGAAAAAACTTAACACGTGTGTAGTGTGAGAAAACATTTCCTTCCCAACTGGAACATCTTGCCTCCTGGAGTTTGTCCATTTGAAATTGCCTCCTTGAAAATTTTCTTGCCAACTTAAAAATTGTATAATTTTCATTTTCAGAAGTGAATATGAAAGTCTAATGCGAGTGTGCAAATCTAAAATCTAATGTGAAATTTTCCAGAATCAAAAAAGGACTCCTGCTAAGATCTTGGAAGCCACCAAAAGTCTCTTTTGAGTTGTGCAGGATTAATACAGCCAGGAAATATATCAGGCAGTCCTCGACTTATTTTACGACCTCTTTTCCCACAGTTGCTGAGTGAATCACTGCAGTTGATGAGTGAATCACGCGGGTGTTAAGTGAATCTGGCTTCCCCCATTGACTTTGCTTGTCAGAAGGAAGGCTGGAAAAGGGGATCACGTGACCCTGGGACACAGCAACGGTCATAAGTATGAGCCGGTTGCCAAGTATGTGAGTTTTGATCACATGACCATGGGGAGGCTGCAAAGGTCATAACTGAAAAACGGTCATAAATCAACTTTTTTTCAGTGCTGTTGTAATTTTGAATGGTCACTAAATGAACTATTGTAAGTCAAGGACTCCCTGTAGAAGCATCCTGGAGCGCAGCGGATGGAAGCCCAGAAGTAAGAAGGGCTTTGATTATTATTTTGTGGTAATTTTAAAAGACCTTTTGGAAGAAACCATGATATTAATGTAAAAACTGACTGATTTTAAGGCGTTAGCTGGTTTTAAAATCAATGGTGAATAGACAAAGAAGTTGACCAAAATATGAAAATGGAAGACCAAAAAGAATTGATGGGGAAAGCAGTTTAAAAGAGAAGTAAGACATTTGGGTATTCTTACAAAGAATACAAATTCTATGTCAAAATAATTATGACAAAGCATGGAATGAAATCAAGAAGGATTTGTTAAGATGGACAAAAAATTACAATTGTAATACAATTGGGTAGAATTTCTATAATTAAAAATGACTATATTGCCTAGAGACAGATCTATTTTAAACAATATCTATCTGGACAATGGGTGCACTACTAAAGAAATGGCAGGAAGATATATGTAAGTTTCCTCCTCGGGCAGGAAACCCTATACCAGTGATGGCGAAGCTTTTAGAAACAATGCCCAAACTGCAACCCAAAACCATGTTATTTATCACTGGATGCCGGGTGGGCGTGGCCCACTGGATGGCTGTGGCTGAGGTGGTCACAGCAGACTGGGTGGGTGTGGCCACCTGGATGTTGCTCATGGGGAAGGACGCTTGGGGCTGAGCAGGGTTGGGGGAGGTTTCTGGTGGGTGAGGCAGAAGGCAAGAGACTCATCCTGCGGGGTGAGACAAGTCCAGGGGCTGTGCAGGGGTGCCATTGCCGTAGGGCAGGGGTTTGCTGGCTGAGGAATTCTGGGAGTTGAAGTCCACAAGTCTTAAAGTTGCCAAGGTTGAGAACCCCTGCCGTAGGGCAAGGCAAGGTGAGGCAGGGCCCAGGGCAGCTGCTGCCTCACACCATCAGCCCCCGCACACACAGGCAGCCAGCGCATGGGAGCCAACGATGTCCGTCAGCAGCCACAGCCTGCCGGCCCCTCGACCAGCACACTCTGGGCTCCATACCCCACTGTAAATACCGGACCAGCCCTCCAGCAGCAAGGTGGAGTAGGGGAGGGGGGAGGCGCGTGATGCAGACCCCCGGACGTGCCTACTCCGTCCAATCTGTTTTTGCTTGCGGTTGGAGAACAGGTTGCTGCTGGTCATCTCCTTGGCCCCATCGCAAATCTTGCCTTTGGCCCGCACGTGGAGCCTGTTCCCCTCATATACCCAACAGACCTTAGCCCCACCTAAGGTTATATGTATGAATTTATTTTGAAGGTATGTTTTATAATGTATTAAAAGTATTAAATGTATTGAAAAATGAAAAATAAAAAAAAATTCAAAAAAACCCCAACAGTTCGCTTAGTGACTGTTCAAAGTTACAATAGCACTGAAAAAAGTGACTTCTGACCATTTTTCACACTTATCACCATTGCAGCACTTAATTACATTACTTCTCATATTTTTTTATTCCTCAATTCTAACGTTATAATACATATCCCATATCTCGTAAAATTCTGTAGCTTCTTTGTCTTTTATTTCTAAGCTAAGTTTATTCATCTCCGCACCATCTAATCTCTTATCACTTACCACACTTTTAATGGAAATGTGTGCCTGTTTTTCTCAGATGAATCTTTGCCGTGTTCTATCCCCTTCTCTTCTTGTTTGACTCAAGCCTCTCCTCCGTCTCTCTCCATCCTCTTCTCTTTCCCTGTCATGTTCTTCCTCTCCCTTTCCCTCCAAAACCTCCACCTTTTATATCCTCTCCTCTCTCTCCATCCTCCTTTCCCTGAGGCTGCGGGCCAATTAGCTGGAGCCCCACAGCAATCCAGGGTGCTCAGCAGAGCCCTGGCAACCCCGAAGCTCCACCTGACTTTCATACAGTGTTGCCGCCGCTTCAGCTAATCCCCACGCTACACTTTTACGCTTTTTTTTACACTGCTTTTCATGCCGACGTATGCGTACCACCTGCCTGGTAACAAAGTACCACCAGTGGTACACCTAGAACAGACATGTCAAACACAAGGCCCGGGGACTGGATGCGGCTCGTGAAGTGGTTTCATGTGGCCTGCAAAGCCATCCTGGAAACAGTGAGGGAACGGCCCCCGCTGCCTTGGCCCTGGCCCAGGCTGGCCGGGAGCCAATATAAATTTTGTGAATGCTGAAATGCATTCAGTCTTAGCTCCACAAGGCCGTCTGGAAACAACGAGGAACCAGCCCCAGCTGCTTCGGCCCCACCTCTTGGGTGCATGCTGGGCAGCTGTCACCCTTTGTGAGGAATGAAGAAATGCACCATCGCCTGGAAGTGGCCAGCAAATGGCCCTCGCCATCTTCACATATCCAGCTTGATGGGCTCCAGCGGAGGGGTTTCAGCAGGCAGTGAGGCTCCTCCAGTGGACTATGCCTTGGTACTTGCCCTGGTCCCACCCCCTTCTGCCAGAGACCCTCAGATCTGTCTCACTCCTGCCCAGGCCCCCACAGGCACCATTGACACGAATGATGTAGAGCTCGCCATGCCCACCCAATAGGTCACACCCACTCCGTCCACACCCACCCAGTAGGCCACACCCACCTGCTCCCCCCCAGGGCAACCGCAATAGTCATGCGGCCCTCAATGAAATTGAGTTTGACACCGCTGACCTAGAACAGTTCAAGATTTTGTTTCCAAATGTAGCCTCCCTTAAACAGTTGATATCCGTCTTTAACGCCTGATGTCATTTTTTCTTCACAAAGCAGGCAAGGCAAAATCACATTAAATTTAGGCCCTACCCATCGGATGTCTTCGCAACAGCCCAAGCATTTTCAAATAGTTTATTCATGAACTTGTTTAAAAATTCCAAATCGGGTCAAAATCCATCTTTGGGGTTTTATACATTTTGTACTCGCTAGAGAAAAAAACTAGTAAGGTTGCAGAGAAGAGCAACAAAGATGATTAGGGGAAGGGAGACTAAAACAAGAGAACTGGTTGTAAGAAATGGTTATGTCTAGTCCAGGGATAGGCAACCTCGGCTCTTTTATGACTCGTGAACTTCAACTCCCAGAATTCCTGAGCCAGCCATGCTGAGGGGAAAGGGAGAGGTTTCCAAGCTGAGCCAGGCTGGTTCAGGAATTCTGGGAGTTGAAGTCCACAAGTCATAAAAGAGCCAAGGTTGCCTACCCCTGGTCTAGTCGAAGGAAGAGGAGGACTAGGGGTGACAGGATGACAGTCTTCCAATATTTCAGATGTTTTCAAAAAGAAGAGGGAGACAAACTATTTTCCAAAAGCAACTGAAGGCTGAAGAAGCAGCAATGGCTGGAAACTGATCAGAGATGCAGCTTAGAACTAAGGAGAATTTCCTCCCATTTAGAACAATTAATCAGTGCAATGGCTTCCCTCCAAAAGTTGAGCGCTCCATCCGTGGAGGCTTTTAAGAGATTAGCCAGTCACTTCTCTAGAATGGTATAGGATCTCTTGCATGGACAGAGGGTTGAGCTAGATAGAAGACCTCCAAGCTCCCTTCCAACTTTGTTATTCTGTAAAGCTTGCTCATTTGTGGCTTGGAAACGTGTAGAAACCCACCACGGTCAGCAAACCATGATGAAAGCAAAGCTTATGGGATGCTGTCTGAACTGCACAATAGGGAAAAGGCTAACCTATTTTCTAAAGCAGGCAAATGACGGTTCCATACAAGCCCTGATCAGGGAGTGTAACGTGGCTCCCTCTGGTTACTGTTTGCAGCTCCCAGGGAAACCTGCCAGCGAGCCCTGGACAAAGGGCTGGGCTGACTTCCAGGACTGGGAGTAAACTATGATAAAGCCACGATTAAGGCCGGTCTCCATCATCACCGCAGCCTCTTTGGACTCGGCAGAACCACCGTCTCGCCTGCCTCCCTACTACGCAGCCCATCCTCCACAGCCATCTCAGCCTTGCCAGGTGCCGGATAGGGGATCCCTCCTCCGACTCCCTCCCCCTCGAACTTCGGGGGAAAGCAGGGAGGGAGGATGCCCGGCCGCCTCTTGCCAATCCCTGGCAGGAGGGAGGGAGGGAGGAAAAGGCTCCGGGCTTCTCCAGACTCCGCCCGGCTGTCAAAGAGGCGGCTCTCCCGGCGCCCTCCGAGGCGCCGCTCTAGGAAGCTCCTCTCGTTCTCCCTGCGCCCGGCGCCCTCCGAGGGGGAAGCGGCGCTTTCCGCACCCCGAAACTCCGGCCGCTCCATCGGAGGAGGAGAGGGAGGAGGGGCCAGAGCGCCCACTCTGCCGTGGGACAGGAAATGGAAGCGGAAAGGGCGAGGAGACGCCTCCGAGGCGCCTCTCTAGGACGTTCCTCTCGTTCTCCCTAATCCTCCCCCCCCCAGCTCTGACGTTCCAGAGCTCCGTTGCGGAGGATTTTCCTTCTCCGCCTTTTCCCCCCGGGCGGCATTTTGGGCGGCGGTGCAACTTCTGGGCGTCCGGCAAGGCTGCTCCTCGGCCCCGCTCCGGGCAGGTGGGGCTGCTCCTGCTCTCCCTCGGCCGGCCAGGAGGAAGGTAGCCCCGAGTCCCCCCCGGGTCCCCGGAGGGTGGCTGAGCCTGCCAGGATCCCGGGTGGATGCAGGGCTGGACGGGGAAAAGGGGGGGCTCGCCCCACGGAGGGAAAGGGGGGGCTTTGCTTTTGAAGGATTTGTGGGGGGGGGGAATACGGGGCAATGGAAAGAAAGACCCGCCTTCTCCCTTCAATGGGGGGGAAGAGCTTGATTTAAGGGGGGTTGTTCCTTTTCCTTCCTTCAAGTGCTTTGAAAAACAGGCGGACACCCTCTTCTTTGTGGCAGCCCCCCAATATTGGAATACTGTTATCATATCACCGCCCCCCCCCCGTCCATCTTTACTCTAGACTGGCCATAAAGAATTCTTTTAACTGTCCTTCACATGTTTTTGTCTCCAGGCCTCTAATCATTTTAGTTCCTCTCCTTTGCCCTTTTTGCAGGGTCTCAATATCTGTTTTGTAATGTGGTGACCAAACCTGGATGCAGTATTCCAGCTGTGGTCTTACTAATTTACTTGCTCTTTATAAAGCTGTACTCATCCTTCTTGTGATTTTGATTTTACGACTCTTGTTTACAGCCAAGGATTTTATTAGCTTTTTTGGAAGCTTTTGCACAATGCTGGTTCATGTTTAAGTGATTCGCCACTGGACTCCCAGTTAACTGTTTTTGAGCCAGGTTTCGCCTAATCTGTATTTGCAGCTTTAGGTTTTTCCTGTCTACGTGTAAAACCTTGCTTTTCTCCACACTAAATTTCAAGTTGTTGGATAGGGCCCATTGTTCAAGTCTGTCAAGATCTTTTTGGATCCTGAGCTTGTCTTCTGGGGTGTTGGCTATTTCTGCCAGCTTAGTGTCATCTGCAAATTTGATGACTTCCCCTTTTATTCCCTCATCTAAGTCATTTATGAAGATTTTCAGAGTATTGGGCCTAAAACAGAACCTTGTGGTACCTCACTGTTTACTTCCCTCTATGTCAGTGGTTCTCAACCTTCCTAATGCCGCGATCCTTTAATACAGTTCCTCATGCTGTGGTGATCCCCAACACCCCCCCCCAATCCAGCTGGCCGGGGGAGGGGGTATTAAAAACTTGACCCCCAAAAAAAGGAAAAAATGGGAAAGTATAGGTAGTCCTCAACAATTCGCTTAGTGACTGTTTGAAGTTACAACAGCACTGAAAAAGCGAATTTTGATCATTTTTCACACTTATGATTGTTGCAGCATCCCCAGGGTCATGTGATTTACATTCGGATGCTTGACAACTGATTCATACTTATGACGTTCACAGTGTCCCAGGGTCACGTGATCAGTGGCCAGGGGGTGTGGCCAGCTGATCACTCAGGTTGCAGAATGCCTTTGGGGGGGAATCTGTGGGTGTCTGGGATGGGACTGGGGTGGGTGCCTGCCTTCCTTCCCTCCCTTCTCTACCCTTGTCCCTTCCTTCTTTTCTTCCTTTCCTTCACCTCCTTCTTAGTCTCTTACTCCTTCCCTCCCTCTCTCCCATTGTCCCTTCCTTCCTTCTTTCCTTCCTTTCCTTCACCTCCCTTAGTCTCTTCCTCCTTCCCTCCCTCTTTCCCATTGTCCCTTCCTTCTTTCCTTCCTTTCCTTCACCTCCTTCTTAGTCTCTTCCTCCTTCCCTCCCTCTCTCCCATTGTCCCTTCCTTCTTTCCTTCCTTTTCTTCACCTCCCTTAATCTTTTCCTCCTTCCCTTCCTCTTTCCCATTGTCCCTTACTTCTTTCCTTCCCCTCCCTCTTAGTTCCTTCCTTCCTTCCCTCTTTGTTCCTTCCTTCCTTCCCTTCCTTCCATTGTTCCTTTCTTCCTTCCTTCTCTCATTGTCCCTTCCTCGTCCCTTCCTTCCTCCCCCCCTCCGTGCCCAGGAAGGGACAAGGAGAGGGGGACAGGCTGCCAGAGACAGAGGAGAGCTCCGCCCAGCTCACTTGCTCAGCTTCGCCAGAAAAGAAAGCCGCTTGCTAAGTTAGCAGAAGCCCCAGGATCAGCGCCGGGCTACAGCTGATTCACGCTTCTGCTAAATTAGCAAGCGGCATGTTTTCTAGCAAAGCTTGAGCAAGTTTGCTGGGCAGGAGCCAAGGAGAGTTGCTATAGCCGACTTGCTTCTTGGCTGCTCTGCAAAAGCGCGGATCAGCTGTAGAGGTTCGCCCTGATCCTGGACAAGAGGGAAGGAAGGACGGAAGGGACAAGGGGAAAGAGGGAGGGAAGGAGGGACAAAGAGGGAGGCGAAGGAAAGGAAGGAAGGGAGGAAGGAAGGGACAATGGGAGAGGGAGGGGAAGAGACCAAGAGGGAGGGAAGGAAAGGAAGTTCCAGCCAGGAGAGGCTTTCCAGCCCAGCTGCCGAGAAACAGAAGAGCACAAAGCCATGGAGAAGAAGGTGGCAGTTTCCTCCCAAAGGGGGCTCCTTTTCTCCACCCCTTCCCTGGGTTTGTGGGGAATTTCTCGTCACCAACGCTGACAGATGCTCCTTCAAGCCCGCCACGAGCTTTCTCGCCCCCTTTGCTTCCCCCCCCCGCTTTCATGAGGATTGTGGCGCCCTTGGGAAGCCGATCGTGCTTTGAAGCTTAGGAGAGGAGGAGGAGGAGTCCCTTCCTCCTTCCCTCCCTCTCTCCCTGTCAAGCCCCGGCGGGCTCAACATGAACGGGCGGAGGAGGAGTCGAGGATGGGCAGGGTGGCAAAGGAGACCGGTGGCCGTCACCAGCCCACACAGCTGACAAGCGCAGGTTCGGGGGTCGCCAGCTGACGGGCGCAGAAGTTGGGTGCTGGGGCGGCCCCCCTTTCGCTGACCTGCGTGCATGAGAAGAAGCCAATCCGGTTGCTGCACAATGAGTCCCTGGGGAGGGCGGGGCCTTGCTCTGTGCCTGCGCTCTTCATGCGCCCCCTGCAGGGCGCATTTGGTAAAGTTCATGCAGACTGCCGCCAAGCAGCATATTTTCCAGAAACAAGTGAGATGGAGCAGAGAGGGGGAGGGAGAGAAGGCGGTTGACAAGCCCTACCTAAGATCATTGGAAATATGTGTTTTCCGATGGTCTTACGCGACCCCTATGAAAGGCTCGTGCGACCCCCAAAAGGGTCGCGACCCACAGGTTGAGAACCGCTGCTCTATGTAGATCAGTGGTTCTCAACCTTTTTATACGGCGACCCCGGTCATAAGCAGCCGGCGCGCATGCGCGGCGGCGCCCCCTGCACAGAACCCATGCGCTGCGACGCCCCCATGCGGCGCCCATGCGCGGCGGTGCCTCCTGCACCGCCCCCTGCACGGCGTGCATGCGCGGTGCCCTCCTGCACCGCCCCTGCGCTGCATGCATGCGCGGCGGCGGCCCCTGCGCCGGCTGACGAAAAAAATGGCGGATTGCATTGTTGGCGGCCCCCGTGAAATGGTCGTTCGACCCCAAATGGGGTCATGACCCATAGGTTGAAAACCACTGGAGTAGATGTACTATCATTAAGGACTACTTGTTGAGTCCAGTTTGTCATAGTTACGATGGGCACTGAAAATAGCACAGTGGTTAGAATACAGTTGTTAATTGTGAAGTCATCTACTACCCATCACAACCCAATGAACAATGTTCCTCCAGGTCTTCCTGTCCTCTACCATCTTCTGGAGTCCATTTAAGTTCACGCCTAGTGCTTCATAGAATGCAGTATTGCAGGCTAATTCTGCTGACTGCCAGCAGTTTGATTCTCACCGGCTCAAGGTTGACTCAGTCTTCCATCCTTCCGACGTCAGTAAAATGGGGACCCAGATTGTTGGAGGGCAATATGCTGATTCTGTATACCGCTCAGAGAGGGCCGTAAAGCACTGTGAAGACGTATATATCTCTTAAGTGCTATTGTTATTCTGTCAGCCATTATGAATCTTTCTCTCTTCTTTTCTTCTTTTTCCTTCATTCAGCAGGGGACACCGGGAAAAGTGGACAAAATTCCAGTTCTGAGATTTTCTGCGTTTGGAAAGCCCTGCAACTGAGAAGGCGCCGGAAATTATGCTGAAATAATAGGAGGTCCCCTCAGAGGAACCAGGAGAGACTCTTCAAGTGCTCTGAGTGCGAGATAACCTTTGCTCACAAATCCCTCCTTTTGATTAACCGGAAGCTGGACATAGGGAATGGATCCCATTTGTGTTTGAAGTGTGCGAAGTCGTTTCATGGTTGTGAAGCTTTGCCAAGCATCTCCGCAGCCACCCCGGACTGAAGCCCTACAAATGTGGAGAGTGTGGGAACCATTTTGCTAAAGACTGGGACATCAGAGCTCCTTAGCGTATCCACCAGGGAAAGAGACCTCAGGAAGGCCTCAGTGTTTTTCCAGGCCTCAGAACAGCCCAACTGAAGAGAAACCCTGCAATTGTGTGCAATGTGGGCTTTGCTTTCCTCAAATCTCAGAGATGCTTAAACATCAACAAATCCACACTGGACAAAAACCTGATCAATGTCTGGAGTGGAGGAAATCTTTTCTTTGAAAAAGGGTCTCCAAATCCACGAGAAAATTCAAATGGAAATAAAACCTTATAAATGCTTCGAGTGTGGAAAATGTTTCACTCGGAGTTCATCACTTTGCAAGCATAATAAAAAACAGACAAAGGAGGAAAGCAGAACGTGCCAAGAATGTGGGAAATGTCTTTCCAGCAAATCAGCCCTGCAGCAACATCAGAAAGTCCACACTGGGGAGAGACCTTATCAATGTCTGGAGTGTGGGAAATGTTTTTCCAGCAAATCAGCCCTGCAGCGACATCAGAAGGTCCACACTGGGGAGAAGCCTTATGAATGTCGGGAATGTGGGAAATGTTTTTCCAGCAAATCACTCCTGCAGCAACACCAGATAATCCACACTGGAGAAAGACCCCATGAATGCCCAGAATGTGAGAAACGATTTGGGCGTTCTTCTGCACTTTTGAGACACCAAAAGACGCACATGAGAGAAAAACTCTATAAATGTAACGATTGTGAGAAATGTTTTTCTCAAAAGGGACATCTTTTTCGACATCAGATCATCCACACTGGGGAGAAACCCTACCAGTGCATCGAGTGTGGAAAATTTTTTGGTTCAATATCAAACCTCAGATATCATGAGAAAATTCACAGAGGGGAAAAAAAATTCAAATGTATAGACTGTGGGAGAGCATTTATTTATTCATCTTATCTTAGAAGTCACTGGCAAGTCCATTTAGGAGAGAAGCCCCATAAATGCTCAGAGTGCGATAAATGTTTTTCTAGGAGACATAGCCTTTTGATTCATCAGACAATGCACAGTGGAGAGAAACCATATAAATGTCCGGAGTGTGGGAAGTCTTTTTCTTGCCAACAATATCTTAGACAACACGAGACGATTCACACAGAAAAGAAGCCTTACAAGCATGTAGAAAAAAATAAAAATGAAATGTGCTCACAATGTGGAAAATGTTTCTCCCAAAGAACACACCTAATTCGACATGAGAGACGTCACACTGGAGACAGGGCCTATCAATGCCCAGAATGTGACAAGTGATTTGTGGTGTCTGCTGAACTCCGGAGACACCAGAAGGCGCACACAGGAGAGAAGCCCTATAAATGTGGGGAGTGTGCGAAAGGTTTCCTCACAGCACCACTGCTTCGGGTTCACGAGAGAATCCACACAAGGGAGAAGCCGTACAAATGTGTGGAGTGTGGGAAATGCTTTTCCCGGAAACAACACCTTGGACGTCATCAAAAGGTCCATAAAAGAATGAAGCCATAAAGACTCCTAAAGTGTAGAAATGTTTTCTTAAGAGGGAGATATCAGAAAACTCACATGGAGAAAGGCCTAACAGGCCCTGATGGTGGAACAGTTTTTCATAGTTGTTCAACCCATAGAAGTCATTTAACAGTTCCTAAAGGGGGGGGGGGAATTAGAAACTCTTAGATCATGAGAGAGCATTTTTTTTGTCAATCATCCCTTAAAAATCATACTTTAATCAAAGTGTGTCAAACTCACAACATTTCGTGACGTGTTGTGACTTTTACCATTGCCGGCAATGGGGTGGGCGCAGATTTGCTATGATGTATCCAGCCGCGAGCCGGGAGTTTGACACCCCTGTTCTAATCCATATAGGAAAGATGCAGCATAAATGAAGAGAAGGACGAGGGGGGACATGATAGCCGTGTTCCAATATCTCGGGCTGCCACAAAGAAGAGGGAGTCAAGCTATTTTCAAAGGCTCCTGAAGGCAGGACCAGAAGCAACGGGTGGAAACTAATCAAGGAGAGAAGCAACCTAGAACTAAGGAGAAACTTTCTGACAGTTAGAACAATTAACCAGTGGAACAACCTGCCTCCAGAAGCGGTGAATGCTCCAATACTGGAAGTTTTTAAGAAGGGACTGGACAGCCATTTTTCCGAAATGGTATAGGGTTTCCTGCCTGAGCAAGAGGTTGGACTAGATGACCTCCAAGGTCCCTTCCAACTTTACTACTACTACATATTACATGTTTGCAGTGTGATGTCTGGATTGCCTGAAAAAATACTATTTTTCAGCATCAGTGAATTCTTACTGGAGAGAAACTTTATCAGGGCTTAGGATGTGGCAAAGGATTTCATCTGACAATCAGGTCTTCAGATGCCCTTGAAAAACCCACACAGGAGAAAAAACTTAACATGTGTAGTGTGAGAAAACGTTTCCTTGCCAATTGGAATATCTTGCCTCCTGGAGTTTGTCCGTTTGAAATTGTCTCCTTGGAAATTTTCTTGCCAACTTAAAAATTGTATAATTTTCATTTTCAGAAGTGAAAATGAAAGTCTAATGTGAGTGTGAAAATCTAAAATCTAATGTGAAATTCTCCGGAATCAAAAAAGGACTCCTGCTAAGATCTTGGAAGCCACCAAAAGTCTCTTTTGAGTTGGGCAGGATGAATACATCCAGGAAATATATACAGGCAGTCCTCGACTTATTTTACGACCTTTTTATCTACAGTTGCTGAGTGAGTCATGGCAGTTGATAAATTAGTCCCGCGGTTGTTAAGTGAATCTGGCTTCCCCCATTGACTTTTCTTGTCAGAAGGAAGGCTGCAAAGGGTGACCCTGGGACACAGCAACGGTCATAAGTATGAGCCAGTTGCCAAGCATCTGAATTCTGATCACATGACCATGGGGAGGGCTGCAAAGGTCGTAACTGAAAAACGGTCATAAATCAACTTTTTTTCAGTGCCGTTGTAACTTTGAACGGTCACTAAATGAACTACTGTAAGTCAAGGACTCCCTCTAGAAGCATAGAATACGTATCCTAGAGTGCAGTGGATGGAATCCAGGAAGTAAGAAAGGCTTTGATTATAATTTTGTGGTAATTTTAATATTAATGGAAAAATTGACTGATTTTAAGGCATTAGCTGGTTTTAAAATCGATGGTGAATAGACAAAGAAGTTGACCAAAATATGAAAATGGAAAACCAAAAAGAATTGATGGGAAAAGCGGTTTACAAGAGAAGTAGGACATTTGGGTATTCTTACAAAGAATACAAATATTATGTCAAAATAATTATGGCAAGGCATGGAATAAAATCAAGAAGGATTTGTTAAGATGGAAAAAAAAATACAATTGTCGTTGGGTAGAATTTCTATAATTAAAAATAACATTTAGAACAATTAATCAATGCAATGGCTTCCTTCCAAAAGTTGAGTGCTCCATCTGTGGAGGCTTTTAAGAAGAGATTACACAGTCACTTGTCTAGGATGGTATAGGATCTCTTTCCTGGGAGCTGGGGGTTGAGCTAGATTAGAAGATCTCCAAGATCAACTGTTGTTCTGTATTCTGTTATTCTGTAAAGGTTGCTCATTTGTGGCTTGGAAAATTATACAAGCCCATCAGTTACCCCACGGTCGGCAAACAATGAGGAAAGCAAAGCAGGGCTGGGAGTAAACTATGGTTAAGCCATGATTAAGGCCGGTCTCTCCCCCTGGGGGAGCCACGCCCGGATCCATCACTGCCTCTTTGGAACCGGCAGAACCTCCGCCTCGCCCACCTCCCTACTACGCAGCCCATCCTCCTCAGCCATCTCAGCCTTGCCAGGTGCCGGAAGGGGGATCCCTCGTCTGAGTCTCCCCCAAACCTCGGGGGGAAGCAGGGAAGGAGGATCCCCGGCCGCCTCTTCCCAATCCCTGGCAAGAGGGAGGGAGGGAAAAGGCTCCCGGCCTCTCTGACCTTTGCCCGGCTGTGAAAAAGGCAGCTCGCCCTGCGCCCTCCGAGGCGCCGCTCTAGGAAGCTCCTCTCGTTCTCCCTACTTTCCTCCCCCCCTCCCACCTCTGACGTTTTTTCCGCCTTTTTCCCCCCTGGCGGCAATTTGGGCGGCGGTGCAACTTCTGGGCGTCCGGCAAGGCTGCTCCTCGGCCCCGCTCCGGGCAGGTGGGGCTGCTCCTGCTCTCCCTCGGCCGGCCAGGAGGAAGGTAGCCCCGAGTCCCCCCCCGGGTCCCCGGAGGGTGGCTGAGCCTGCCAGGATCCCGGGTGGATGCAGGGCTGGACGGGGAAAAGGGGGGGGCTCGCCCCACGGAGGGAAAGGGGGGGCTTTTCTTTTGAAGGATTTGTGGGGGGGGAATATGGGGCGATGGAAAGAAAGATCCGCCTTCTCCCTTCAATGGGGGGGGGAGGTTGGTTTAAGGGGGGGAGTTTAAAGTCATTGAATTGAGCTCATGTTCTCCCAACCCAGCAAAGATCCACTTTCTTTCTGCTTAATCTAAAAAGAGAGGAATGAATATTCTTTGCTTTTATTCTCATTCTTTTTCTTTTGTTTCTACAAAGTTGGGCAGAATCTGAAAAAAATCATTGTTTTCCTTGTTTACTATGAAGAGGCTGTGAGGTGGCAGCCCCTTGATGGGTTTTATCAATCAGAATAGAGCTGGAAGGGACCTTGGAGGTCATCTAGTCCAACCCCCTGCTCGGGCAGGAAACCCTACACCATTTCGGACAAATGGCTGTCCAGTCTCTTCTTAAAAACTTCCAGTGTTGGAGCATTTACTGCTTCTCGAGGCAAGCTGTTCCACTGATTAATTGTTCTCACTGTCAGGAAGTTTCTCCTTAGTTCTAGGTTGCTTCTCTCCTTGATTAGTTTCCACCCGTTGCTTCTTGTCCTGCCTTCAGGTGCTTTGGAAAATAGCTTAATTCCCTCTTCTTTATGGCAGCCCGAGATATTGGAATACTGCTATCATGTTCCCCCTTGTCCTTCTCTTCGTTAAACTAGACATACCCAATTCTAGCAACCGTTCCTTATATGTTTTAGCCTCCAGTCCCCTAATCATCTTTGTTGCTCTTCTCTGCACTCTTTCTAGAGTCTCAACATCTTTTTACATCGTGGTGACCAAAACTGGATGCAGTATTCCAAGTGTGGCCTTACCAAGGCATTGAAGAGTGGTATTAATACTTCACGTGATCTTGATTCTATCCCGCTGTTAATGCAGCCTAGCACTGTGTTGGCCTTTTTGGCAGCTGCAGCACACTGCTGGCTCATATTTAGGTGATTGTCTACTAGGACTCCGGGGTCCCTCTCACAGTTACTACTATTGAGCATGGTGCCACCTATGCTGTACTTGTGCATTTGGTTTTTCTTGCCTAAATGTAGAACCTTGCTTTTTTCACCATTGAATTTCATTTTGTTACTTAGTGCCCAGTGTTCAAGTCTGTCCTTTATTATAGGTGTGTTTGTGTGTGTGTGTGTATATATACATCCGCGAAAATCTGAGAAAACATACACACACACACACACACACACACACACACACACACACATTAAAAATAAAAGTAAAAATATGACTCTTGGGAATATCCATACTATTAAAACAATGATCACCAAGAGAATGCTTTAAGAGAATAAAATTACATACACACACAGATAAAAAAAGGATATATGCAGTGTTATCTTCATTTTAGATGTCAAAAGGGTCTCTCTCTCTCTCTCTCTCTGTCTCCCTCCCTTCCTCTCTATCTGCCCTTGGTCTGCCACTCCTCTTCCCCCACTCTCTTTCTTTCTCTCTCTCTTTCCTCTCTCCCTCCCTCTCTTTCTTCTCTTTCTCCCTCCCTCCTATCTGCTGCTCACCTGGGAAGCTTCAAGCTGTTGTCCAACAAGCTCAGGGTTAGGCAACCTCATCTCTTTTATGACTCATGGACTTCAACTCCCAGAATTCCTGAGTCAGCCTAGCTGGGCTAGCTAGCTCTCTCCTGCCCTTCCTGCTTCCTGCTGAGACACAGCAAAGGAAGGAGCTCCGCCCAGTAAGCTTTTCAGCTCCTCGGAGAACACTGTGAGTGCACTCTCTTTTATACATACACACACACACACAAAAACACAAACACACATACACAGAGAGAGAGAGAGAGAAGCAGGGAAGCGCAATTGCCTCTGTCTCTGTCTCTCTCTGCAAAGGCAGAGGAGGCTGGGAGCCACAGGGGAAGGCTCAAAGAGCCACATGCGGCTCCGGAGACGCAGGTTGCCGACCTGTGCCCTATACTATTCCAGACAGGTGGCTGTCCAGTCTCTTCTTAAAAGCCTCCAGTGATGGAGAAACCACAACCTGTGAAGAAAAACTGTTCCATGGGTTAATTGTCTTCACTGTTAGGAAGTTTCTCCTTAATTCCAGATTGCTTTTCTCTTTGATTAGTTTCCATCCATTGTTTATTTTCCTGCCTTCAAGTGCTTTGAAAAACATGTGGACACCCTCTTCTTTGTGGCAGCCTCTCCAATATTGGAATAGTGTTATCATGCCACGCCCGGTCCATCTTTAGTCAAGACTGGCCATAAACAATTCCTGCAACTGTCCTTCACATATTTTTGTCTCCAGGCCTTTAATCATTTTAGTTGCTCTCCTTTACCCTTTTTGCAAGGTCTCAATATCTGTTTTGTAATGTGACCAAACCTGGATGCAGTATTCCAGGCTTGGTCTTACTAATTTACTTGCGTGCGCGCGCACACACACACACACACAAGAAAAAGTAAAAGGCAGGGATCATTAACAATTCAGGCAGACAAATGGGGAGCAAGCGGGAAAGCCATGATAGCGCAGTGGTTAGAATGCAGTTGTTGTTGTTAATTGCAAAGTCGTGTCCGACCCATCACGACCCAATGGACACTGTTCCTCCAGGTCTTCCTGTCCTCTATCATCTTCTGGAGTCCATTTAAGTTCACGCCTAGTGCTTCATAGAATGCAGTATTGCAGGCTAATTCTGTTCACTGCCAGCAGTTTGATTCTCACCGGCTCAAGGTTGACTCAGTCTTCTATCCTTCCGACGTCAGTAAAATGGGGACCCAGATTGTTGGAGGGCAACATGCTGATTCTGTATACCACTTAGAGAGGGCCGTAAAGCACTGTGAAGACGTATATATCTCTTAAGTGCTATTGCTATTCTGTCAGCCATTATGAATCTTTCTCTCTTCTTTTGTTCTTTTTCCTTCATCCAGCAGGGGACACCGGGAAAAGTGGACAAAATTCCAGTTCTGAGATTTTCTGCGTTTGGAAAGCCCTGCAACTGAGAAGGCACCGGAAATTATCCTGGATGGAGAAATACTTTGATAGAAAGTCCCCTCAGAGGAACCAGGAGAGACTCTTCAAGTGCTCTGAGTGCGAGATATCCTTTGCTCACAAATCCCTCCTTTTGATTAACTGGAAGCTGGACAAAGGGAATGGATCCCATCTGTGTTTGATGTGTGGGAACTGGTTTTGTGGTTGTGAAGCTTTGCGAAACATCTCCGGAGCCACCCCGGACTGAAGCCCTACAAATAGGGGAAGCATTTTGCTAAAGGCTGGGACCTCAGAGCTCCTTAGCGTATCCACCAGGGAAAGAGACCTCAGGAAGGCCTCAGTGTTTTTCCAGGCCTCAGAACAGCCCAACTGAAGAGAAACCCTGCAGTTGTGTTCAATGTGGGCTTTGCTTTTCTCAAATCTCAGAGATGCTTAAACATCAACAAATCCACACTGGACAAAAACCTGAACAATGTTTGGAGTGGAGGAAATCTTTTCTTTGAAAAAGGGTCTCCAAATCCATGAGAAAATTCACATGGAAATAAAACCTTATAAATGCTTCGAGTGTGGACAATGTTTCACTCGGAGTTCATCACTTTGCAAGCATAATAAAACACACACAGAGGAGGAAAGCAGAACGTGCCAAGAATGTGGGAAATGTCTTTCCAGCAAATCAGCCCTGCAGCAACATCAGACTGTCCACACTGGGGAGAGCCCTTATGAATGTCTGGAATGTGGGAAATGTTTTTCCAGGAAATCAGTCCTGCAGCAACACCAGATAATCCACACTGGAGAAAGACCCCATGAATGCCCAGAATGTGAGAAACGATTTGGGCGTTCTTCCGCACTTCGGAGACACCAAAAGACGCACACGAGAGAAAAACTCTATAAATGTAACGATTGTGAGAAATGTTTTTCTCGAAAGGGAAGTCTTTTTCGACATCAGATCATCCACACAGGGGAGAAACCCTATCAGTGCATCGAGTGTGGAAAATTTTTTGGTTCAATAGCAAATCTCAGACATCATGAGAAAATTCACAGAGGGGAAAAAAAATTCAAATGTTTAGACTGTGGGAGAGCATTTATTTATTCATCTTATCTTAGAAATCACTGGCAAGTCCATTTAGGAGAGAAGCCCCATAAATGCTCGGAGTGCGATAAATTTTTTTCTAGGAGAGATAGTCTTTTGATACATCAGACAATGCACAGTGGAGAGAAACCATATAAATGTCCGGAGTGTGGGAAGTCTTTTTCTTGTGAAGAATATCTTAAAAAACACGAGAAGATTCACACAGGAAAGAAGCCTTACAAGCATGTAGAAAGAAAGAAAAATAAACTGTGCTCAGAATGTGGGAGATGTTTCTCCCAAAGGGGATACCTAATTCGACATGAGAAACGTCACATCGGAGACAGACCCTATCAATGCCCAGAATGTGACAAGCATTATGTGGTGTCTGCTGAACTCCGGAGACACCAGAAGGGGCACACAGGAGAGAAGCCCTATACATGTGGGGAGTGTGGGAAAGGTTTTCTCAGAACAAGAACGCTTCGGGTTCATGAGAGAATCCACACAGGGGAGAAGCCGTACAAATGTGTGGAGTGTGGGAAATGCTTTTCCCGAAAAGACCACCTTGGACGTCATGAAAAGGTCCATCAAAAAATGAAGCGATAAATATTCATAAAGTATAGAAATTTTGTTGTGCTCAAAAGGGAGATATCAGAAAACTCACATGGGGAAAGGCCTAACAGGCCCTGATGGTGGAACAGTTTTTCATAGTTGTTCAACCCGTACAAGTCATTTAAGAGTTCCTAAACGGGGGGGGGGGGGGGAATTAGAAACTCTTAGATCATGAGAGAGCATTTTTTTTGTCAATCAGCCTTTAAAAATTATACTTTAATCCAGGTGTGTCAAACTCACAGCATTTCGTGACATGTTGGGACTTTTATCATTGCCGACAATGGGGTGGGCGCAGATTTGCTATGATGTATCCAGCCCACGAGCTGGGAGTTTGACACCCCTGTTCTAATCCATATAGGAAAGATGCAGCATAAATGAAGAGAAGGACGAGGGGGGACATGATAGCCGTGTTCCAATATCTCAGGGGCTGCCACAAAGAAGAGAGAGTCAAGCTATTTTCAAAGGCTCCTGAAGGAAGGACCAGAAGCAACGGGTGGAAACTAATCAAGGAGAGAAGCAACCTAGAACTAAGGAAAAACTTCCTGACAGAACAATTAACCAGTGGAACAACCTGCCTCCAGAAGCGGTGAACGCTCCAACACTGGAAGTTTTTAAGAAGAGACTGGACAGCCATTTTTCCGAAATGGTATAGGGTTTCCTGCCTGAGCAGGGGGTTGGACTAGATGACCTCCAAGGTCCCTTCCAACTTTACTACTACTACATATTACATGTTTGCAGTGTGATTGCCTGAAAAAAAAAAATACTCTTTTTCAGCATCAGTGAATTCTTACTGGAGAGAAACTTTTATGAGGGCTTAGGATGTAGCAAAGGTTTTTTATCTGATAATCAGATCTTCAGATGCACAATGAAAAATCCACACAGGAGAAAAACCTTAACACGTGTGTAGTGTGAGAAAACTTTTTCTTCCCAATTGGAACATCTTGCCTCCTGGAGTTTGTCCGTTTGAAACTGCCTCTTTGGAAATTTTCTTGCCAATTTAAAAATTTTATATATTTTTTTAAAATTTAATTATAAGAATATGAAGGTCTAAAGTGAGTGTGAAAATCTAATGTGAAATTCTCCGGAATCAAAAAAGGACTCCTGCTTTGGGCAGGGAGGGTTGGACTAGAAGACTACAACACTTGTTGTTCTGTGATAGGTCCCTTGTAGCTCTGTGATTCTAGGACTTTAAAAAGAAAAAGGGAAAGGGACAGTGAAAAAGAAAAAGTGTGTATGGGAGGGGGGTGCAGACGAAAAAGGAAAAAAGCTAAGGATTCTGCTAAAATCTTGGAAGCCACCAAAAGTCTCTTTTGAGTTGGGCAGGATTAATACATCCAGGAAAGACATACAGGCAGTCCTCGACTTATTTTACGAACTTTTTATCTACAGTTGCTGAGTGAATCACTGCAGTTGATAACTTAGTCACACGGTTGTTGTGAATCTGGCTTCCCCCATTGACTTTGCTTGTCAGAAGGAAGACTGCAAAAGGGGATCACGTGACCCTGGGACATAGCAATGGTCATAAGTATGAGCCAGTTGCCAAGCATCTGAATTCTGATCACATGACCATGGGGAGGCTGCAAAGGTCGTAACTGAAAAACAGCCATAAATCACATGGAATATGTATCCTAGAGCGCAGCGGATGGAAGTAAGAAGGGCTTTGATTATAATTTTGTGGTAATTTTAAAAGACCTTTTGGAAGAAACCATAATAGTGGTAATGGAAAAATTAACAGATTTTAGGGCATTAGCTGGTTTTAAAATCAGTGGCAAATGGACAAAGAAGTTGACCAAAATATAAAACTGGAAGACCAAAAAGAATTGATGGGAAAAAGCGATTTAAAAGAAATGAGACAAAAGTAAGATATTTGGGTAGTTTTACAAAGAATACAAATTCTGTGTCAAAATAATTATGATAAGGCATGAATTAAATAAAGGCTGATGTGTTAAGATGTGAAAAAATAATTGTTGGGTAGAATTTCTATCATTAAAAATGACTATATTACATAGAGTGATGTTTCTGTTTTAAACAATACCTATCTAGACCAGGGCTTTTCAACCAGTGGTACGGGTACCACCTGTGGTACATTGGCACCTGGCAGGTGGTACGCGACCAACCTAGAAAAGTAGCGGGGGAGGGGAATGAGCTGAACCAGTGGCAGCACCGCACAAGCCTGAGCGCGAGATGGCTGGAGCTGCAGGGCTATCAGGGCTCAGCGGAAGCGCCAGGATCAGCGCCAGGCTCCAGCTGGAGCTCAGCACTGATCTGGTGCTTCTGCTGAGCCCAGAAGCACCGATCAGCTGGAATGTTGCAGCATCTCCAGGGTCTTGTGATTTACATTCAGATGCTTGGCAACTGATTCATATTTATGACGCTCACAATGTCCCAGGGTCATGTGAAGTGACCAAAACCTGCTGCAACCACCCAGCAGACGGGAATAAAAACCAACCCCCACCCCCGCTGCCAATGCTCAACAGAAATGCTCACAATGAAAGCCTCGGACAGGAGGAAGAGCGCCATCGGGCGGTGTCTTGCTCGGCTGTGGCTTGGGCAGCCCTTTTTTCAGTGCCATGGTAACTTCGAACAGTCACTAAGCGAACTGTTGTAAATCGACGACTACCTGTACTTTATCACTTTTCCTTTGGGGGGGGTCATCAAGTTTTTGACACCTTGCTAGGCGACTGGTGGTATTCGGATATTGCCATATCCTAAGAGTGGGACAATGGGTGAAAAGGTTGAAAAGCCCTAATCTAGACAACGGGTGCACCACTAAAGAAATGGCAGGAAGATATATCTAAGCTTACATGGCAGGAGAAAAAACAAGAGTTTAATTGGAAACTCTTCAAGAGGAAAGAGAGTGCTTGGTCACGTTGATGGAAGAGACCTTGGAGGTCACCTAGTCCAACCCCCCCACTCAGGCAGGAAACACTATATAGAGTCGTTGTATGCAAGCCGTTTGTTCCGTATTGTGTTCAGAGTGGGTGCATTGGATTTCTTCTTTAGATTCATTTCTTTTAGAATCTGTTTCTCTACAAAGGAAACTGGCAAGTGGTAGAGCAAGTCAATGAGAGAAATGGGGGGGGGGAAAGGAAGGGAAAAACGAACTGAGCTGTAAATGAGAGAAGGGAGAAAGAGGGAGCTGAGGGAGGAGAGGAAGAGGAGGAGATTCAAGGTGTCTTGTGGCCTTGACCAGGACAGCCTCAGAGGCCTAAACACAACTGAAAAGAAAAAGCATTGAATATGAAAAAAAATCATGTTAATTCTATAATTTTGCTAACCTTTAAAGGCCGCGAGGTAAAATTCAATTTTGCCCTTAGCAAAATTCTGTAAAGCTTGCTCATTTGTGGCTTGGAAAATTAGCCAAACCCACCAGTTACCCCACCGTGAGCAATGAGCAAAGCAAAGCAGGGCTGGGAGTAAACTATGATTAAGCCATGATTAAGGCAGGTCTCTCTCTCTCCCTGGGGGGGCCACGCCTGGATCCATCATCGCCTCTTTGGAACCGGCAGAACCTCCGCCTCGCCCACCTCCCTACTACGCAGCCCATCCTCCTCAGCCTTCCCAGGTGCCGGAAGGGGGATCCCTCGTCCGAGTCCCCGCCAGACCTGGGGGGGGGGGGGAAGCAGGGAGCGAGGATCCCCGGCCGCCTCTTCCCAATCCAGGGAGGGAGGGAGGGAAAGGCTAACGGGCTATCCGACCTCCGCCCGGCTGTGAAAAAGGCGGCTCGCCCGTCGCCCTCCGAGGCGCCGCTCTCGGAAGCTCCTCTCGTTCTCCCTCCCCCCTCCCACCTCTGACGTTTTTTCCGCCTTTTTCCCCCCTGGCGGCATTTTGGGCGGCGGTGCAACTTCTGGGCGTCCGGCAAGGCTGCTCCTCGGCCCCGCTCCGGGCAGGTGGGGCTGCTCCTGCTCTCCCTCGGCCGGCCAGGAGGAAGGTAGCCCCGAGTCCCCCCCCGGGTCCCCGGAGGGTGGCTGAGCCTGCCAGGATCCCGGGTGGATGCAGGGCTGGACGGGGAAAAGGGGGGGCTCGCCCCACGGAGGGAAAGGGGGGCTTTTCTTTTGAAGGATTTGGGGGGGGGAATATGGGGCGATGGAAAGAAAGACCCGCCTTCTCCCTTCAGTTAGGGGGAGGTTGGTTTAAGGGGGGGAGTTTAAAGTCATTGAATTGAGCTCATGTTCTCCCAACCCAGCAAAGATCCACTTTCTTTCTGCTTAATCTAAAAAGAGAGGAATGAATATTCTTTGCTTTTATTCTCATTCTTTTTCTTTTGTTTCTACAAAGTTGGGCAGAATCTGAAAAAAATCATTGTTTTCCTTCTTTATTATGAAGAGGCTGTGAGGTGGCAGCCCCTTGATGGGTTTTATCAATCAGAATAGAGCTGGAAGGGACCTTGGAGGTCTTCTAGTCCAACCCCTTGCTCAAGCAGGAGACCCTATACCAGGGGCAGGCAACCCAAAACACTCAAAGAGCCACTTGGACCCATTTCCCACGAAAAACAAAACATCGGGAGTCGCAAAACCCTTTTGATATCTAAAATGAAGATAACACTGCATATATCCTTTTTTATAATAATAATAGTAGTAGTAGTAAAGTTGGAAGGGACCTTGGAGGTCATCTAGTCCAACCCCCTGCTTGGGCAGGAAACCCTACACCATTTCGGACAAATGGCTGTCCAGTCTCTTCTTAAAAACTTCCAGTGTTGGAGCATTTACTGCTTCTCGAGGCAAGCTGTTCCACTGATTAATTGTTCTCACTGTCAGGAAGTTTCTCCTTAGTTCTAGGTTGCTTCTCTCCTTGATGAGTTTCCACCCGTTTCTTCTTGTCCTGCCTTCAGGTGCTTTGGAAAATAGCTTAATTCCCTCTTCTTTATGGCAGCCCCTGAGATATTGGAATACTGCTATCATGTCCCCCCTTGTCCTTCTCTTCGTTAAACTAGACCTACCCAATTCTAGCAACCGGTCCTTATATGTTTTAGCCTCCAGTCCCCTAATCATCTTTGTTGCTCTTCTCTGTACTCTTTCTAGAGTCTCAACATCTTTTTTACATCACGGTGACCAAAACTGGATGCAGTATTCCAGGTGTGGCCTTACCAAGGCATTGAAGAGTGGTATTAATACTTCACTTGATCTTGATTCTATCCCTCTGTTAATGCAGCCTAGCACTGTGTTGGCCTTTTTGGCAGCTGCAGCACACTGCTGGCTCATATTTAAGTGATTGTCTACTAGGACTCCGAGGTCCCTCTCACAGTTACTACTATTGAGCATGGTGCCACCTATGCTGTACTTGTGCATTTGGTTTTTCTTGCCTAAATGTAGAACCTTGCTTTTTTCACCATTGAATTTCATTTTGTTACTTAGTGCCCAGTGTTCAAGTCTGTCCTTTATTATAGGTGTGTTTGTGTGTGTGTGTGTATATATACATCCGCGAAAATCTGAGAAAACATATATATATATATATATATATATATATATATATATATATACATACACACACACACTCTCTTGGGAATATCCATACTATTCAAACAATGATCACCAAGAGAATGCTTTAAGAGAATAAAATTACATACACAGGTAAAAAAAGGATATATGCAGTGTTATTTTCATTTTAGATGTCAAAAGGGTCTCTCTCTCTTTGTCTCTCTCCCTCCCTCTCTATCTGCCCTTGGTCTGCCACTCCTTTTCCCCCACTCTCTTTCTTTCTCTCTCTCTTTCCTCTCTCTCTCTCCCTCCCTCCCTCCCTCTCTCTCCTCTCTCTTTCTCCCTCCCTACTATCTGCTGCTCACCTGGCAAGCTTGAAGCTGTTGTCCAACAAGCTCAGGGGTATGCAACCTCGTCTCTTTTATGACTCATGGACTTCAACTCCCAGAATTCCTGAGTCAGCCTAGCTGGGCTAGCTAGCTCTCTCCTGCCCTTCCTGCTTCCTGCAGAGACACAGCAAAGGGAGGAGCTCCGCCCAGTAAGCTTTTCAGCTCCTCGGAGAACACTGAGTGCACTCTCTTTTATACATACACACACACACAAAAACACAAACACACACACACAGACACACAGAGAGAGAAGCAGGGAAGCGCAATTGCCTCTCTCTGTCTCTGTCTCTCTCTGCAAATGCAGAGGAGGCTGGGAGCCACAGGGGAAGGCTCAAAGAGCTGCATGCGGCTCCGGAGCCGCAGGTTGCCGACCTGTGCCCTATACTATTTTGGACAGGTGGCTGTCCAGTCTCTTCTTAAAAGCCTCCAGTGATGGAGAAACCACAACCTGTGAAGAAAAACTGTTCCATGGGTTAATTGTCTTAACTGTTAGGAAGTTTCTCCTTAGTTCCAGGTTGCTTTTCTCTTTGATTAGTTTCCATCCATTGTTTATTTTCCTGCCTTCAAGTACTTTGAAAAACAGGTGGATCCCCTCTTCTTTGTGGCAGCACCCCCAATATTGGAATACTGTTATCATGTCACGCCTGGTCCATCTTTACTCTAGACTGGCCATAAACAGTTTCTTCAACTGTCCTTCACATGTTTTTGTCTCCAAGCCTTTAATCATTTTAGTTGCTCTCCTTTGCCCTTTTTGCAAGGTCTCAATATCTGTTTTGTAATGTGACCAAACCTGGATGCAGTATTCCAGGCTTGGTCTTACTAATTTACTTGCGTGCGCGCACACACACACACACACACAAGAAAAAGTAAAAGGCAGGGATCATTAACAATTCAGGCAGACAAATGGGGAGCAAGCGGGAAAGCCATGATAGCGCAGTGGTTAGAATGCAGTTGTTGTTGTTAATTGCAAAGTCGTGTCCGACCCATCACGACCCAATGGACACTGTTCCTCCAGGTCTTCCTGTCCTCTATCATCTTCTGGAGTCCATTTAAGTTCACGCCTAGTGCTTCATAGAATGCAGTATTGCAGGCTAATTCTGTTCACTGCCAGCAGTTTGATTCTCACCGGCTCAAGGTTGACTCAGTCTTCTATCCTTCCGACGTCAGTAAAATGGGGACCCAGATTGTTGGAGGGCAACATGCTGATTCTGTATACCACTTAGAGAGGGCCGTAAAGCACTGGGAAGCGGTATATATATCTTAAGTGCTATTGCTATTCTGTCAGCCATTATGAATCTTTCTCTCTTCTTTTCTTCTTTTTCCTTCATCCAGCAGGGGACACCAGAAAAAGTGGACAAAGTTCCAGTTCTGAGATTTTCAGCGTTTAGAAAGCCCTGCAACTGAGAAGGCACCGGAAATTATCCTGGATGGAGAAATACTTTGATAGCAACACTCAGAGGAACCAGGAGAGACTCTTCAAGTGCTCTGAGTGCGAGATATCCTTTGCTCACAAATCCCTCCTTTTGATTAACCGGAAGCTGGACAAGGGGAATGGATCCCATCTGTGTTTGCAGTGTGGAAACTCGTTTCGTGGCTGTGGAGCTTTGCCAAATATCTCCGGAGCCACCCCGGACTGAAGCCCTACAAATGGGGGAAGCATTTTGCTAAAGGCTGGGACATCAGAGCTCCTTAGTGTATCCACCAGGGAAAGAGACCTCAGGAAGGCCTCAGTGTTTTTCCAGGCCTCAGAACAGCCCAACTGAAGAGAAACCCTGCAATTGTGTGCAATGTGGGCTTTGCTTTTCTCAAAACTCAGAGATGCTTAAACATCAACAAATCCACACTGGACAAAAACCTTATCAGTGTCTGGAGTGGGGGAAATCTTTTGTTGGAAAAACAAGACTCAAAATCCACGGGAAAATTTACATGGAAATAAAGCCTTATAAATGCTTCAACTGTGGAAAATGTTTCACTCGGAGTTCATCACTTTACAAACATAATAAAACACACACAGAGGAGGAAAGCAGAACGTGCCAAGAATGTGGGAAATGTCTTTCCAGCAAATCAGCCCTGCAGCAACATCAGACAGTCCACACTGGGGAGAGACCTTATCAATGTCTGGAGTGTGGGAAATGTTTTTCCACCAAATCAGCCCGGCAGCGACATCAGACAGTCCACACTGTTGAGAGACCTTATGAATGTCTGGAATGTGGGAAATGTTTTTCCAGGAAATCAGTCCTGCAGCAACACCAGAGAATCCACACTGGGGAAAGACCCTATGAATGCCCAGAATGTGAGAAACGATTTGGAAGTTCTTCCACACTTTGGAGTCACCAAAAGACGCACACGAGAGAAAAACTGTATAAATGTAACGATTGTGAGAAATGTTTTTCTCTAAGGGAAAAGCTTTTTCAACATCAGATCATCCACACAGGGGAGAAACCCTACCAGTGCATCGAGTGTGGAAAGTGTTTTTGTTCGATAGCAAATCTCAGACATCATGAGAAAATTCACAGAGGGGAAAAAAAATTCAAATGTTTAGACTGTGGGAAAGCATTTATCCAATCAGCTCATCTTAGACGTCACTGGCAAGTCCATATAGGAGAGAAGCCCCATAAATGCTCAGAGTGCGATAAATGTTTTTCTAAGAAAAATAGACTTCTGATACATCAGAGACTCCACAGTGGAGAGAAACCATATAAATGTCCAGAGTGTGGGAAGTCTTTTTCTTGTGAACAATATCTTAGACAACACAAAATGATTCACACAACAAAGAAATCTTACTTGTGCGTAGAAAGAAATAAAAATGAAATGTGTTCAGAATGTGGGAGATGTTTCTCCCAAAGGTCACACCTAATTCGACATGAGAGACTTCACACTGGAGACAGGCCCTATCAATGCCCAGAATGTGGGAAGCGATTTGTGGAGTCTTCTGAACTCCAGAGACACCAGAGGGGGCACACAGGGGAGAAGCCCTATAAATGTGGGGATTGTGCGAAAGGTTTTCTCACAGCAACACTGCTTCGGGTTCATGAGAGAATCCACACAGGGGAGAAACCGTACAAATGTGTGGAGTGTGGGAAATGCTTTTCCCAAAAACAACACCTCAGAAGTCATCAAAAGGTCCATCAAAGAATGAAGCCATAAAGACTCATAAAGTGTAGAAATGTTTTGCTCAAAAGGGAGGTATCAGAAAACTCATATGGGAAAAGGCCTAACAGGCCCTGATGGTGGAACAGTTTTTCTTTTTTTTTTATTGAAAGAGTTTTATTGACAATTAACAAAAAATTTTAAACCCACAAACCCACCCACCCCCACCCCCCTACCCACCCCCACTTCTGAGAGCCGAGTACAGGGTTATTACAAACATATTAAACAAAATCTAATTAAATTTAACAAATTGTACAATAACTAAATTCATACTTAACCCTTAACTCCCTTTAAACCTTAATATCATATATAAACAAATCCATTTTAAAACAATTATTATAAAGAACCATAATAACAGTAAATAAACTAAATAATTTCCATTATAAAATGCTATTAATAATTATTATTTAAAATTTAATCATAAAATAAATGGAACTTTTTAGTTTCATATTTAATCTGAATATAATCTATCCATCTTCCCCATACCATAATATATCTTTCTTGTGTATGATCCTTTGAATAAGCAGAAATTTTAGCCATTTCTGCTAAATTAGAAACCTTAAGTGTCCATTCTTCTATAGTAAGCAACGAATCTTTCTTCCAATATTGACCTACCAATAGCCTTGCTGCTGTTACTAAATTCAACATTAAAATAGTTTCTTTAACATCAAAATCCTCAAAAATCCCTAGTAAAAATAGTTGAGGAGTAAACTTTATCTTCCTTTTAAAAATCTTTTGAATGTTCCACCAAAGCATAATCCAAAAAGCCTTAATATTTTTACAAGTCCACCAAATGAAAATAAGTTGCATCAGAACTACCGCATCTCCAACATTTAGGCTGTAAATTAGGATACACACAAGACAACTTTTTAGGATCCAAATGCTACCTATAAAACATTTTATAAAAATTTTCCCTTAAATTTTGAGCCTGTGTAAATTTAACATTTCTGATCCAAATTATCTCCCATAAATCCAATGGAATCGGTTCCTGGATATTCTGAGCCCATTTAACCATACAATCTTTAACCAATTCCGTTTCCGAATCCAATTCTATTAACGCATTATAAATTCTTTTTATGTGAGCCTGATTCTGATCTTTAATTTGAATTACCAAATTTTCATCTAATGTTATTCCTACTTTCTTATCTAAAGTCCACCTATCCACTATTTGTAAATACTGGAACCATGACTGTAAAATATTTTCTTGCCTTAATACATTTAAAGATTTTAATTGTCAGTCAGTACCTGACCAAATAAGTAATTCTTTATATGGAATTTTTTCAAAATTCATCCCCTTAGAAATCCCCTCAATTGCATGTCCAGGAATCCCCCAAATAGGTATTTTGTAATTTAACCTGTAATAATACTTCTTCCAAACTCGAAGTAAGGCATTTCTTAAAATATGCGATTTAAAAGCTCGATCTACTTTCTTATTGAAAATTAAATATGCATGCCAACCATATAATAAATCCCACCCTTCAAGAGAAAGAATATTTTTGTTAGATTAAGCCAATCACTTATCAAAGTTAGTGTGGCTACATCATAATATAATTTCAAATTAGATGCCTTAAGCCCTCCTCTTTCTCGAGCATCTTGCAAAATCTTAAACTTCACCCTTGGTTTCTTCCCAGCCCATATACATTTATTGATACCCTTCTGCCGCTCATCCAAATTAGCATCTTTTTTTAAAATGGGTATCATTTGAAACAAAAAAAGAAACTTTGGTAGAACATTCATTTTTACAGCTGAAATTCTCCCCAACAACGACAGTTGTAATTTTTTCCAATCATTTAAATCCTTTTGTACTTTTGTCCATAATAATTCATAATTATTCTTATACAATTTTCCATTAGAAGCAGTTATATATACTCCCAAGTATTTAACCTTTTTCACTATCTGAAAACCTGTAAGTTTAACTAAAATTTCATTTTCCCTCTCAGTCATATTCTTAGATAATATTTTAGTCTTATTTTTATTTACTTTAAAACCAGAAACTTTCCCATATTGAATTATAAGTTCCAACAAATGACTAACCGATTGAGTCGTTTGTAATAAAGTTAAAACCAAATCATCCGCAAAAGCTCTCAATCTATACTCATTCTTGTTTATTTTTATTCCCTTAAGTACAGTTGACTCTCGAATCTGAATTAACAAAATCTCCATTGTTAAAACAAATAACAATGGGGATAATGGACATCCTTGTCTTGTACCCTTTTCAATATTAAAAGTCTCTGTCAATCCCCCATTAATAATAATTTGAGCAGACTGTTGTTGATATATAGCCTTGAGAGCATATAAAAACTTATCTCCAAAATTCATTTTCTCTATAAGTAAAAATAAAAATTGCCAATCTAATTGATCAAAAGCTTTCTCAGCATCCAGAAATATAAATGCCACAGGGATCTGATTATTCTTATCCAAGTACTCAATTAAGTTAATAATTTGTCTTACATTGTATTTCATATATTTTCCTGTTATAAATCCAGACTGATCATTATGAATTAAATCCTTCATAACCTGCATTAAATCTATTTGCCAAGATTTTAGAAAAAAAATCTTATAATCTGTATTTAAAAGAGAGATAGGTCTATAATCTATAATTCTTAGGTTCATTAAGATCCTCCTTCGGGATCAATGATATAAAAGACCTTCTCCAGGAAGGGGGAACCGGAGCTCCCAGCAAAATACCATTAAAAAGTTCTTTTAATGGCTCTATCATCTCTTCAGATAACATTTATAATACTTTGCCGTTAGTCCAGTGGTTCTCAACCTTTTTAATGCCGCGGCCCCCAACCGGTCGTAAGTCGAGGACTACTCAATCGGTCGTAAGTCGAGGATACTCAACTGGTATAGCACCGTTTGCAGAATGGGACTTTTGGCGGGCTCAGCAGGGCAGAGACAGCCTGGACAATTCCTATTGGCTTTTGAAAGCCAATAGAATTAGACTCTATTCAAGAGAGTCTATTCTATTGGCTTTCAAAAGCCAATAGAATAAAAGGGAGTAGCACAGCTAAGGAAAAGGGGGGAAAAAATGGCAGACTGCGTTGTATGGCGACCCCTGTGAAATGGTCGTTCGACCCCAAATGGGGTCCCGACCCACAGGTTGAGAACCACTGCGTTAGTCCATCTGTACCTGGGGCCGGAACAGTTTTTCATAGTTGTTCACCCTTTTGTTGTTGTTGTTAATTGCGAAGTCGTGTCCGACCCATCGCGAACCCATGGACAATGTTCCTCCAGGTCTTCCTATCCTCTACCATCTTCTGGAGTCCATTTAAGTTCACACCTACTGCTTCAGTGACTCCATCCTGTAAGAGTTCCTAAAAAGGAGGGGGGGGGAGATTGGAAACTCTTAGATCCTGAGAGAGCATTTTTGTCAATCATCCCTTAAAAACCATACTTTAATCCATATAGGAAAGATGCAGCATAAATGTTTGGAGTGTGATGTATGTTTTGCCTGAAAAAATACTCTTTTTCAGCATCAGTGAATTCTTACTGGAGAGAAACTTTTATGAGGGCTTAGGATGTCGGAAAGGTTTTCATCTGACAATCAGGTCTTCAGATGCACAATGAAAAATCCACACAGGAGAAAAACCTTAATACGTGTGTAGTGTGAGAAAACCTTTCCTTCCCAATTGGAACATCTTGCCTCCTGGAGTTTGTCCCTTTGAAATTGCCCCCTTGAAAATTTTCTTGCCCACTTAAAATTTTTATAATTTTTTAAAAAAATTTCATTTTCAGAAGCGAATATGAAAGTCTAATGTGAGTGTGAAAATCTAAAATCTAATGTGAAATTCTCCGGAATCAAAAAAGGACTCCTGCTAAGATCTTGGAAGCCACCAGAAGTCTCTTTTGAGTTGGGCAGGATTAATACATCCAGGAAAGACATACAGGCAGTCCTCGACTTATTTTAAGACCTTTTTTCCCACAGTTGCTGTGTGAATCACTGCAGTTGATAAGTTAGTCACGCGGTTGTTAAGTGAATCTGGCTTCCCCCATTGACTTTGCTTGTCAGAAAGAAGGCTGCAAAAGGGGATCACGTGACCCTGGGACACAGCAACGATCATAAGTATGAGCCGGTTGCCAAGCATCTGAATTCTGATCACATGACCATGGGGATGCTGTAAAGGTCATAAATGAAAAATAGACATAAGTCAACTTTTTTTCAGTGCCGTTGTAACTTTGAACGGTCACTAAATGAACTATTGTAAGTCAAGGACTCCCAGTAGAAGCATAGAATATGTATCCTAGAGCGCAGTGGATGGAAGCCCAGAAGTAAGAAGGGCTTTGATTATAATTTTGTGGTAATTTTAAAAGACCTTTTGGAAGAAACCATGATATTAACGGAAAAATGGATTGATTTTAAGGCATTAGCTGGTTTTAAAATCGATGGTGAATAGACAAAGAAGTTGACCAAAATATGAAAATGGAAGACCAAAAAGAATTGATGGAAAAAGCGGTTTAAAAGAGAAGTAAGACATTTGGGTATTCTTACAAAGAATACGAATTCTATGTCAAATTAATTATGACAAGGCTTGGAATGAAATCAAGAAGGATTTGTTAAGATGGGGAAAAAAATTACAATTATTGTTGGGTAGAATTTCTATAATTAAAAATAACTATAATACCTAGACTAATGTTTCTGTTTTAAACAATGCCTATGTGGACAACGGGTGCACCACTAAAGAAATGGCAGGAAATATAGCTAAGCTTATATGGCAGGAGAGAAGCCAAGAGTTTAATTGGAAACTCTTCAAGAGGAAACAGTGCTTGGTAATAATGATGATGATGGAAGGGATCTTGGAGGTCATCTAGTCCAACCCCCCCCCCCCCCGCTCAGGCAGGAAACCCTATATAGGGTCATTCTTTTATGGAAGCTGTTTGTTCCCTATTGTGTTCAAAGTGGGTGCATTGGATTTCTTCTTTAGGTTCATTTCTTTTAGAACCTGTTTCTCTACAAAGGAAACTGGCAAGTGGTAGAGCAAGTCAATGAGCGAAATGGGGGGGGGAAAGGAAGGGAAAAACAACTGAGCTGTAAATGAGAGAAGGGAGAAAAAGGGAGCTGAGGGGGGAGAGGAAGAGGAGGAGATTCAAGATGTCTTGTGGCCTTGACCAGGACAGCCTCAGAGGCCTAAACACAACTGAAAAGAAAAAGCATTGA